TCTCGGAAAATTCAATGTCTCCGGCTGTCTCTGCGACGTCTGATCGTGCTCCGTCAACGTCGAAGAGCTCAGGCGCCGCACATCGCAAGTCAAGAGAGGTTGCGAATGAGATCTGGAGATCTTTGGATCTGCAGGAAGAGGATTTCGTAACCGACAATTCAAATTATTATTTCCATTGCAGTTTCAGCAGAGAGACGACTCCAACTAGCGATCAGCATCGCGGAGACACAGAGGCGGAAATAGAATCTGCCGCTGAATCGAAGTTAGCTGAAAATAGAGCGTTTGGTGAGGAGGTGTCTAAGCCAGAATCTGGTAATCCTTCTAATCTAGCATCTACGTCTTTTTGTAAGGCTATTGAGGGGGTTAGACATGCTGATTGTGTTGAGATTAGTGAACAATTGCTAGATACACCAACTGTTTGTAAAAATGCATTAGTGAGCCTGAATCCCAGGAACGCTGGGTTGGACACTAAAAAAGGTGCGGTGAACGTGGTCGTGGGAGGCTATTGGAGGCGAGGTGGTTCGCTCGTCGTGATAGCGATCGTCTTCATTGGATGTCTATCTGCAGTTTCTATCGCAAAGGAGGAGGCAACAAAATTAGGAACTGTTATTGGAATTGATCTTGGAACAACTTACTCCTGTGTTGGTGTTTACAAGAATGGTCATGTTGAAATCATAGCAAATGATCAAGGAAATCGTATTACACCATCATGGGTGGCATTCACTGACACAGAAAGATTGATTGGTGAGGCTGCAAAGAACCAGGCAGCTGTCAACCATGAAAGGACTGTCTTTGATGTTAAGAGGCTTATTGGAAGAAAGTTTGAGGATAAGGAAGTCCAGAGGGATATGAAGCTTGTTCCTTACAAGATTATTAACAAGGATGGCAAGCCTTATATACAAGTCAAAATCAGAGATGGGGAAGTTAAAGTCTTCAGCCCTGAGGAAATCAGTGCCATGATTCTAACAAAGATGAAGGAGACAGCTAAAGCATTCCTTGGGAAGAAAATTAAGGATGCTGTTGTTACTGTGCCTGCATACTTCAATGATGCTCAAAGGCAAGCTACCAAGGATGCTGGTATTATTGCTGGACTTAATGTTGCAAGAATTATTAATGAACCAGCTGCCGCTGCCATTACCTATGGACTGGACAAGAAAGGTGGTGAGAAAAACATCCTCGTATTTGATCTTGGTGCGGTGATCGTGGAGACTTTGAAGTCTAAATTGGAAGAGTTGAATCTTGAATCAAGACTGAAAGGAGATGAGTTGAGAAATTTGAGCAACATTTCACAGAATTTAGAGAAAGAGAAGTGTGAACTTATATCTAGCAACAAAGATGTTGCTGACAGATTAGAAATGGCACTTCAGGAAGTAAAGAACCTTCGTGATTTTGTCAATTTTCTGGCTATGAAACTCACTAAATTGGATAATCAAAGTCGAACCTTTTCAGAGAAGGTCATTCATCTTAATGGTTTTTTTGACAATTGGTTTAAGATGATCCATGAAGAGAAAGAATTTGCTGCTCAACATGCTGGAAACAAATTTGACCTGCTCCACAATCAGTATACATGTATTGTTTCAGAGAGAAATTCTATACAATTGGCTAGCATCAAATTTCAAGAAGGATGAAGAGTTGCCATGAAGTAGGTGGAAGAGTTGCTATATTTTTTTTTTTACTGCTTGTCTCTCAATCTGGAGATGTTTCTACACTAAAAGCTCTGTTTTGCTTCGCTATATGTTTACAGTAGCAGTCCTCACTACCTTTTGTATTTAAGCTGGGCATGTAGGATCTACACGCTCCAGCTTACCGGGGGGTGTTGGAAGATAAAAATAGCATAGGGCTATTTTTGTCTAATCCTCTTATGCTTTAACCGCTTCATATATAGTCTTTTGTCTTCTCTGTAATACACACACTTTATCAGAATAACAATTAATCTTCTTTTTCTTCAATCTGCTCCATCTCTGCTTCTCCGATGTAGTCCATATTCCAACAAAACAGCATCATTGATAATAATTCACATTCCACACTACTACCAATACCAAACATGCAAAATACTTTCACTAAAACTCATTACTATTTACCAAGTATTTAATACTCATTCTAATTTCGATTCTCATGTGCGAACCAAACACACCTAAGTTTGACTCCATGGTATAAGGATTGTTTCAACAGCTGGTCAGCTGGCAGCTAGCTACAACTTTCCTACTATTATATGGTATGAACTTTGAAGGGTGATGAAGACGACAAAATTTTATTAATAAAACGAACACCCAAATTTCAAACATGAGGGCCCATTCTTCTTAATTAATGATATAAATGGTTGTTAAAACTATATTATATTACAAATAATAATTCCATTTAAACAAATACTTTCGAATTCATTACATCATAATACCATGCATTTATTTATTTTCTCAAATCTTAGCTGTTCAACAACCATCTTTGCTAGCTAACCACTTAACTATTACAGGAATAGCCATGCTAATTATAGGAATTCTATTTTCACAACCCTGATTGATATTTACACCACTATTTGATAGGTTTGCTAGTTTTTGATAGGTTTGCTAGTTTTATAGGTAGTATAAATGGAACAGTATGCTATTTGTACCAACTTCATTAAAATTAGTCAAACATAATGTTTTTATTTAAAAATATTTATTATTTATTATTTATTTTTATTTCAAATTGTGAAAGTATAATAATTTTGTTTATAATATTTTTTAATTATTTTATGTAGTATCTAACGTTTAATAAAATTAATTTTATTTTTTGTCATTCTAATATTCTTTATAACTCAAATTTTTTGTATGCATTATTTTACCTTATTATAAAAATATAATAAATTAATTTTCAATCGTTAAAAAATGTAAAAACACATTAACATCACAATAAAATATAAAAATAAAATTTCATTCCATTTCAATCCAGTATAACATTCTCATGAGTATAAATAGAGCGTACATGCTCATTGTAAATATTGATATGATTCACATATGGAGTAATCCATGCATCTGCACAATCATAATACGCATTGGGTACCCTCCTGGCAATGTTATCTTAACATAATGATTATTATTAATGTAACTAAGGTCAATTGCTACATGCTCGTACCAAGGTGGTGGGCTAGATCGGAGCAGTAAATATGTCGTACTACCGGCAATACTCAAAACATGTATCACATTATATCTAGAAGCAATTAGTACACCTATTAAATTTAAATTAAATAATTATTTAAAAATTTAAAAATCAAAACATTAAAAAAATGGTGTTGGTTTTTTTTTTTAATGTTTTAATTTTTAAATTTAATTATTTAATTTAAATTTATTAAAATAATATTTATAATTTCAATACATTTTTTTAAACACTAATTCCAATACCTAATTTATTTTGTGCAATTAAATTACATTTGACCCTGGTATAAATAGTCATATTTACACCCTAATGGCTATTTACACCACCAATGAAATTGTTGAAAATTTTCACTTTTTAGAATTCTAAAGTTATTTACACTAGGGTGGTACAAATAGCAACACCCTAGCCAAATCAGTCAAGCTTGGGTAAAAACAAAATTTTAAGTTGAGTTACCAAGTTTGACCCTATGGAACTATTTTATTGTTTATTGACTTTTTTCTTTGTCCCTCACCGATTTGCACTAGTATATAATTATATATACAATTTCTAGAGTTTGCCTTTCATTACAAAGTCTAGAGTTTGCCTATCTTCAACCAATTAATTATGAGTGGCATGCAAGTCAATATGGGAGCTGGGGAAAGCCGCGCTGATCGAAAATGCCCCGTCCGTATGTAGATGACACCAAAGCTACAAGCAGAGGGAATTGAAGAAGCACAAATGAAGTGACCGGCAAACATGCAAATGCAGCTACTATAATAAGAACTCCCCTTCTGTTATGCCCAAATACCAGATAAACTGTGGCGGAAAAGGCAATCATCATAAATATTATGGACAAAAACAAGGTGAAGAGGCCTATGATTAATCTGTTGGGGAGAGCATATAGGAAGTCTTGTTCTGCATAGCGCGAAGTTAGGATGGACAAGAAGACGAGCAAGGAAGTGGCAGATGTGAAGAGAGATGCAGCATTTGAGATGGCAAATACTGTGAAAGCATTGTGGTTGGAGAAGATTGGGAGGCCATTTTCACCACTGTTGCCACCAGGAACTGTAATGGCTGCTGCAAAGACAACAGTAACAATGAGGGCTGCTGCAATTGTGCATGAAGTTACTGTGTCTTTCATCCATTTCTCCCCTGCCTCCTTTAACTCCTTATGCTCCTCCGTAAAGACCATACTCGGAGTTTTGCGATCTTTATTCGGAAATGACAACAAATTTATTGGTGTGATTTTTTCCACTTCCTGCAGATCAAATGAAATTAATTATATATATATATATTGTTCCTTAGATTGTGGTGACAAGATTGGCATGGGGTTTAATTACCCCGTGTGGGCACCTTGGTGCAGTACATGGCTATGAGTTTCTTCGTCATAAAAAAAATAAAAATAAAAATAAAAATGAAATGGTAGGGGAAAACATATATATAAGAGATAGATTGTGACATATTATACCTTAAACCATTGCAGCTCTCGTTGCATTTGAAGAGCTGCACCAGAAACAAGATTTAATTTGTGGGGAGGTGCTAATTTCCCAGCCAAATGCAAAATGGTATTATGATTTATGTCTAGATAACCCGGTAATAAATTCCTAAGCACACTGGTTCCACAAACAAGGTCAAAAACATTTTCACTACGGTTCATTACTGCAACGTGAAGTATATTCTGCAGCATGGAGTTTGAGAAATAAACCGATAGAGGATATGCTTCTGCAATATTTAGGATGACTTGCCAAATGTCGAAACTCGTTGCTTCAAAGAGTGCATGTCTTGCCAGTGAGTCCACTTGTGCATCATTTAGGGTTTTGAGTTGATCACACAAGCATTTAAGAAGCTTCACAGCTTGGTGGTGCAGCACCATTTTGTTTACTATGATTTTCCCTACCAGCCCTGGTAGACAGATATATCGAATTAAAACAATAATAAACAAAATCTATTCTTTTTATTATTATATATCTTAGCTTCTAATTATATATTCTGATCTGATGTGGTCATGTTAGGTAGTTATGTATACACACACATCCTTAGATATATACATACATTGTAGTAGTGAGGTGATGAGGTGGAAAATTGGTGTAGATGTTGTTGACTCGGCCTTAGAAACACCTGCATGCAATAACAATTTTTACTAGTAAGTTAAAGATCTAAATGAGCTCTAATTAATTGCCTGGCCGGCAGGCACGAAATTGAAGAATAAGTATATATATATATAGACGATAGAAATGGAAAGTTACGTTACTCACAATAATATATGAAACTTTGCCAAAAGTTTAGACTGTGTTTATTAATAATGTAAGATTCACTACGAACTATGGCCTCCAAAGCTGATGTATCGGCAAGTAACGTCTTATGACGGCCCAAATCAGGGTACCTTACAACCAACTGCAGAGCCAAATCTGTATATATATGTCATATAAATTCAATTAAATTATAATAAGCTAGCTAAGCAAAGAGGCTAATTAAGATGGATTAGATATAGTTGCCCGGGGGGCATGTACTGCTATAGGCAATTTATATCATGGACCAAGGTTTGTATAACATTATGGGCCCTGAATTGAAACAACCAGGTACATAATTCATACTCATAAGGTACAGAATTTCATAACATAAAATACAAAAAATCACAACACAAGACACATAGCATATATAGCATTATGGACACAACTAGATTGAAAAGACGAGCGAGGTACATAATTTATACTCATAAGGTATATAATTTCATAATGTAAGACACGAAAAGTCATATAACACAAAACACATACACATGAAACATGGTCGTCAATATATAGTGGAGTGAGACCCTAGTCACCCTATTGCATTGTAAACCAGATACAAAATTTTGTACCTTCAGTTAAAACATTATGTATGTACAGTAGTTAACAGTTTATGTACATGTAAACAAATAACTTGATAATTGCTGACACATAATATGATAGCTACATGTACAGAAACTACCAACTCCATGCATGTACGAAATGCACCAAATATAGATACAGAATCTAAATTGGTCCAAGATCTACAATGTAAGGTAGTTCCTGGTCCATGGTATAATTAAGGATTGAGTACTATACGTACCATAGAATTTATATAGGATTAAGTTAAGAAGAATAGAGAGACCAGTTGGGCCTGCATATGGATTAGGCTGCCCGTATTCATCATCCCTAGTCAGACCAAGGAAATACAGAAAGACATCCTTGCTTTTGGGAAGATTATTCGTAACTGCATAATGGATGGGGAAAGAACCGTAGTTGTTGCGAAGATAGAGGAGATTAGAATTCCTGCTAACAAGGATTTCAGCCACCTCAATGTTTCCATGCAGGGCAGCGATGTGAAGTGGGGTATTCCCATCGGCGTCTCTGGGGTCAAGTTCATCATCCAACAATAATGCTACAAGCTTTTCCATAAAGGAGGCATTACCTACTTTAGCACCAACATGCAATGCAGTCTCTAACTGGTTGGTGAGTGGAGATTGGATTGCTGCTGGGTTTTGGTTGAAGAATATTTGAGCTTCATCCCAATTTGCTGCCAATATAGCTCTGTATAGTGGCCGGTATTTGCTGTAATCATCTGCAACATCATCTTCATCATCATATCATATCATGTATGGGGAAGCTAGCTAGAATTAATGAATCAAATTTAAACAACTGAACCTGGATTTTGAGGAAGTGTTGGGGAAGAAGCTGCCATTTAATTTCTGCAAATTTATTCTATCTGATGATCTTAACTCAAATGGAAATTGATGGCCTGGCAAGCTATGCTTTATATATATATATATATATATATATATATATATATATATATATAGTTGTACTGTTCAGAATAATGGCCGGATTCATATATAGCTGGTGGGCTGTCAGCTAGCTACAACTTTCTTACTATTATATGGTATGAAGGGTGATGAAGACCACAAAATTTTATTAATAAAACAAACACCCAAATTCCAAACATGAGTGCCCATTCTTCATAATTAATGATATAAATGGTTGTTAAAACTATATTACAAATAATAATTCCTTTTAAACAATTATTACTTTAGAATTCATTACATCATACCATGCATTTATCTATTTTCTCAAATCTCATCTGTTCAACAAGCCAACAACCCTCGAAAAATTATACCATCAACAATGGTCGATCACCTGTGAACACTGATCCGATTCAAAAATAACCTTGAGATTTTATATCCATAAACGATTTTGAGTGGACTCGAGTCTAAATGTTCATAATTATTTACATAATAAATGTTCACAATTTACTCTTTTAAAAATTCACAATTTGTATACTATGAACACACAATGTTAACATATATGTAATTGATTACTCAGTTTTGTATTCACAAGTTCCTTTCAAATACTGTAGTTACACAATATTAACATATTGGGATTTGATGACCTAGTATTGTATTCACGAATTCCATTTTATAGTTATTATGTGTTTTGACTTAGAAACACAATTTATATTCTAGGAATTCACAATTCCAATACTAAAAATACACAATTTATATTCTAGAAATTCACAATTCAAATACTAAAAATACACAATTTATACGTCTTTTAGGACCCGGGTCCACTTGCAAGGTCCACCTTGCAGGTGGACCCTGGTCAATGATATAACAACTCTTTTGTACTTGCAGTTGACACATTTTGTACATGATGTTAACTGTTTTTATACATGTAAACAAATTGAAGACGCATATCATCACATGAAAATTACAAACGCATAACATGATAACTACACACATAAATCGTTAACTGCATGTATAAAATATGTTATTGCAGACACATAACATGTTAACCAACATCGTGTCTGCAATTAACATATTCTGTACATGCTTTTAATAATTTGTAATTACAGTTATCATGCTATGTGTTTGTAATTATTATGTTATGTGCTTTCAATTTGTTTACAGATATAGAAATTATTAACTGTAGGTATGAAATGTGTTAATTGTATATACTTAATTTTTGAATCAGGGATCACAATGCAATATAAACTCGGGTCCATGGCATCGTTGCTAGCTACCCACTTTCTTATTACAGGATAACCAAATTAGTCAAACTTGGTTAATATATATATATATATATATATATATATATATATATATATATATATATATTTTAAGTTGACTTACTAAGTTTGACTCCATGCATGGTATAAGGATTCAACTAGCTGCCAGCTGACCAGATATATTTCAAACATGAGGGCCCATTCTTCTTAGTTAATGATATAAATGGTTGTTAAAACTATATTACAAATAATAATTCCTTTCAAACAAATACTTTCGAATTCATTACATCATAATACCATGCATTTATTTATTTTCTCAAATCTTAGCTGTTCAACAACCATCTTTGCTAGCTCACCACTTAATTATTACATGGATAGTAAAATGGGAATTCTATTTTCACCACCCTAATTGTTATTTACATCACTCTTTGATGGTTCTTTCTAAAAGGTTATAGGCTAAATTTTTGCTTACTGCACACAAGGACACTGTCGTTGGTGAGACTCGATTCCTGATCATTCTTCTCAAAGTTCACCCATATGACCAACCGAGTTGCCCATGCGGACACCCTTTGATAGGTTTGCTAGCTTTATAGGTGGTGTAAATAGAACAATTTTCTATTTGCACCACATTCATTAAAGTTAGTCAAACATTATGTTTTTATTTAAAATATTTATTATTTATTATTTATTTTTATTTCAAATTGAGATAGTATAATAATTTTATCTATAATATTTTTAATTATTTTGCATAGTATCTAACGTTTAACAAATTTTAATGATAAAATTAATTTTATTTTTTTATCATTCTAATATTCTTTATAACTTAAATTTTTTGTATGCATTATTTTACCTTATTATAAAAAAAAAAAAGGAAAATTGGAATTTATGTTCTTCCATAATATGTCAATTATCAATGTCACCCCTGAATTATTAGTACTGGTGTAAGTATTACCCCTCAATTTTCAAAACGGTACATATATTGCCCTTCCCGTACCTTACGGGAGGGGCAATATATGTACCGTTTTGAAAATTTAGGGACAACATTTACACTTGGGAAGGGTAATATATGTATCGTTTTGAAAATTGAGGAACAAAATTTACACCACTAATAATTCGAGGGTGACATTGATAATTATATTGACATATTATGGATGGGCATAAATTACAATTTTTCCTTATAAAAATGTAATAAATTAATTTTCAATCGCCAAAAAATGTAAAAACACATTAACATCACAATAAAATATAAAAATAAAATTTCATTCCATTTCAATCCAATATAACATTCTCATGAGTACAATTAGAGCGTACATGCTCATTGTAACTATTGATCCGATTCACATATAGAGTAATCCATGCATCTGCACAATCATAATAGGCGTTGGGTACCCTCCTATCAATATTACATTAACACAATGATTATTATTATTGTAACTAAGGTCAATTGCTACATGCTCGTACCAAGGTGGTGGGCTAGAACGGAGCGATAAATATGTCATACTACCGGCGATATTCAAAACATATCACATTGTATCTAGAAACAATTAGTACACCTATTAAATTTAAATTAAATAATTATTTACAAATTTAAAAATTAAAACATTAAAAAAAAAAAAAAAAAAACCATCGCTGGTAAGGGGTTTTTTTTTTTTTTTAATGTTTTAATTTTTAAATTTAATTATTTAATTTAAATTTATTAAAATAATATTTCTAATTTCAATACTTTTTTTTTCTTTGAAAACTCTAATTCCAATATCTATTTTTTTTTTTATAGTTAAATTACATTTGACAAGGGTGGTTTAAATAATCATATTTACATCTTAATTACTATTTACACCACCTATGATTAATCTGTTGGAATAGCATATAAGAAGTCTTCTTCTGCATAGCACGGAGTTAGGATGGACAAGAAGACGAGCAAGGAAGTGGCGGATGTGAAGAAAGATGCAGCATTTGAGATGGCAAATATCACTGTTGGAAATTACGGAATTTCCGACTACCTGAAAGTGATCTTAAATCAAGTCAAAATTCTTGTTCCGACCACTTTTGGTATCCGAAAAAACCTTTGTTGCTATTTTCGACCACTTTTTTCTTTCGAATTGATTTAAGATCACTTTCAGGTGGTCGAAAATTCCATAATTTCCAGCAGTGTATTGTGAAAACTAAGCATTGTGGTTGGTGAAGATTGGGATGCCATTTTCACCATTGTTACCACCAGGAACTGTAATGGCTGCTCCAAAGACCACAGTAACAATGAGGGCTGCTGCAATTGTGCATGAATTTGCTATGTCTTTCATCCATTTCTCCCCTTCCTCTTTTAACTCCTTATGCTCCCCTTCCTCATATAACACTCTTACCTTGCCACACAAAATCTTTTGCATAGTTGTTACCTCTGTTGATTAGCCGCGATCATATAATCAAGCTATACGATACTAGTGTTGGAAGGAGGTAATGGCTGCCGAAATTAAAGCTCTTCAGGATAATAACAACACCTGGGTCTTGACTGAGCTACCCCTCGGCAAGACACCTATCGGGTGTAAGCGTGTGTATAATGTGAAGCTTAAAGCAGATGGCTCGGTGGAAAGGTATAAGGCAAGACTAGTAGTCAAGGGGTATACACAACAGCTGGGAATTGATTACATCGAGACATTCTCACCCATAGCAAGGCTCACTACCATTCGTACGTTCTTGGCCATGGCATCATCTCAGGCTTGTGGCATATTCACCAGTTGCCAGTTGGACATCAACAATGCATTCTTAGCTTGTATGGAAACTTGGATGAAGAAGTTTACATGGTGCTACTGATTGTAGCAAAAATGATTGATGGTGAGTATACGGGTGTGAAATGTCGTCCTCAGGGATTGGGATTTATGGCACGTAATACGCAATCACAAGCAACTAGGCACTAGCATAAGGAAATCAACAAGAAGCTAAGGAAATAACAACAAGTTTCAAGGATACGATAACTAAACAAAATAACACGAACACATATTAACAAGATGTAAACACAAAATAAAGAAATAGGACTCAAGCTAGGGAGGATTATCATCTAGATGCTTTAACAACCGATGGGATATAATTAGGGAGAAATCACACAACCAAGGAATTAAGGGGATGCACGTAGGAATCCTAGTCTATACGTCACTCACGTGAGCAAATTAACAAGGATTAGAACAAGGAATTGTCCCACTCTCGTGGTGAATCAACTCCAAGTTCTTCAAGAACACAAAATATCAAAACCCCCAACTTCCCACATTTTCAAAGGAAAAATCGGGTTTATGCAAGGAGTGGCTTGAAATCTTTACCCAACTCTAATTGAGATCAAGAATCCTCTCAAACATGTTAATGAATGTTGTACACCAAGCATTAACAAAATACAAACACAAATCCTTCATAAACTCAAGAACCCTAGGTAGGCAAAAATCTCATTTATGCAATAATCACAAACTAAGCATCAAGATAGGTAATACAACCCTAACTAAAGTCCAACATACTAACTACTCATGATTTAATAGCATAAAGAACACAAAAACATAAGTGTAAAGCATAAACATTGCAAAGGAAAAGAGATAAGGGAAAGAACACTTCTCTAAAGAAATTGATGGTAAATCTTGGAATCCAAGTGTTGAATCCTTGAATACAAGCTTGAAATATGATAAAGAACATAAATCTACACCTAATCTAACACTAAAATATGAAATGAAAGAGTATAAAATAGTTAGGGTTCGAATGGGCTTCAAAACCGTGTAGAAATGAGTGAAAACTCAGCTTAAAAGGAGCATAGGCGGGGGGTTTCAACGCGTCGAACATGTACAGTACCCAAACTGATCATTTCTCGCTATTCTCGACGCGTCAAGTGCTTCTCTACAACGTAACTCCGACTTGTAGGATGATTTTGACCACTTTATGCTCAGAATTAGGCTTTGATGTCTTCATGAAAGTTGTATCCCTTCGAGGCTTCTTTCAAATGGTGCAAGAATCACTTCATTTGGACATTCACAGGTCGAGATATGATCAAATTACCAAACAGCGGTCGAAATGAGCAAAAATTGCAACGTCTTGATCTTTTGATCCTCTTTTGTTTTGGTTCGCCCAAATGAACGACCACTGAATACACCACTCTTAGGCTTCCTTGGAAGTGTTTTGTCTATCCGCTTAGCTTCTCCTTGGCTCCCATGGACTCTAAATGTATCTATCCATAAGACCATAATGCTTCACTTGACTCCAATGTCCTTCAAAATGCATGAAAATATTCATCTTGTCTTCCAAATCTTACCATACCAAACTCCTTGCAAAATAACACAATTTAGTTCTAATCTCATGAAATTTGGAATGATCTATAAGCAAAATGGCTTAGTGAAAGAGGGAAAAATATAGACAAATAAGCACTTATCAGCTACTACCCGGTTTTCAAGGGGAAAAGCCAAGTCAAGTCTACAGGCTCTTAAGATCGCTCTACAGCCTTAAACAAGCTAGCCGACAATAGAATGCGAAACTGCGCAATGCACTGATATGCATGAATTTTGAACAATCAAAATCTGATCCTTCGCTATTCACCAAGGGTAGTGGTATGAATTTCATTTCTCTCCTTGTTTACGTAGATGATATTCTTGTCACAAGTCCCAGTTTGATTTTGATTCAAGAACTTAAAGTGTTTCTTGACAACACTTTTAAAATAAAAGACTTGGGCAGTTTGGGTTATTTTTTGGGAATCGAAGCACACATGAGTGAAGTAGGATTGAACCTCTGCCAACGTAAGTATGCCTTGGATATTCTGAATGCATGAGTCACGATTCCTCAGTTGTAGCTAGTGAGCACGCCTATGGTTCCAGGCCATCGTTTAAGCAAGAATAATGGCACCCCACTTAATGATGCTAGTAGTTACGCAGAAGACTAGTAGGCCAACTGTTATATCTAACAACAACGATACGAGACAAAGCGTATACGGTACAACAGCTAAGTCAGTTTGTGGATGTCCCAACAGATGATCATATTACTGCAGCACACCAGGTTCTACGGTATATCAAAAATGCGCCTGGTCAGGGGTTATTCTATCCAAAGAATAACGTCATGCAACTTAATGTGTTTTCTGACACAGACTGGGTTTCTTGTTTGGAGACACGAAAGTCTATCATTGGTTTTTGCATATTTCTCAATTCAGCTCTTGTTTCTTGGAGATCAAAGAAGCAAGTCACAGTATCTCGTTCCTCCTCCAAAGCAGAATATCGTGCTCTCGCTGCCACCATTTGTGAAGTACATTAGCTCACCTCATTGCTCCAAGATTTGTAGATAGTATTAAGAAGGCCTGCAGCCGTGTTTTGTGATAATAGACCGGCCATCGTCATTGCTGAAAACCATGTTTTCCATGAATGGACAAAGCACATAGAAATCGACTATCATATTTTCCGGGAAAAGGTTACTCAAGGGCTCATCAAGCTATTATCAATCTCTTCCTATGCTCAAACAGTCGATGGTTTCACCAAAGTTCTTCATGTCTCCATGTTTCGCTCTTTTACTTTTAAGCTGGGCATTCAAGACCTACATGCTCCAGCTTACGGGTGGGAAATGGAGGACTGCAGCACACATGAACTAGAAGCAGGAGGTGTTCTACAAGCTGCCATTAACAGTTGTAATAGTAAAGGGGTGTTAGAGTAATTACCCCCTCTCATGTTTGTCACAACCGTTTTTCCTTCCACTCTGTATAGCTTCATTCTTCTGTATATCTTTCCAGTTTCTTCTCTTCTCCCTCGCTGTGTATGTAACCAATTCCGTCAAAGAGTACCAAATTAAAATCAAATCTTTGGTTGCTTTAATTACATCAACCAGCTAAACAAAGAAGTATAATATACACTTCAAAAAGCATAGTCTAGTGAGTAGATTATTATATATCCTCAAATTCACAATGTAAAACATTTATATGTATGCACAATAAGCAATAATATGTAAATTAAACTTAAATTACATTTACTGGAAAATGTAATTTGGCTAAAACTTTTGCCTAGAACCACAAATTAAAATGATCAAAGCACTACAAAGTCTAGAGTGTGCCTCTCATCAAACCAATTAATTATTAGTGGCATGCAAGTCAATAAGGGAGCTGGGGAATGCCACGCTGATCGAAAATGCCCCGTCCGTACGTAGATGACACCAAATCTACAAGCAGCGGAAATTGAAGAAGCACAAATGAAGTGACCGGCAAACATGCAAATGCAGCCACTATAATAAGAACTCCCCTTCTGTTATGCCCAAATACCAGATACACAGTGGCGGAGAAGGCAATCATCATAAATATTATGGACAAAAACAAGGTGAAGAGGCCTATGATTAGTCTCTTGGGAAGAGCGTATAGGAAGTCTTCTTCTGCGTAGCGCGAAGTTAGGATGGACAAGAAGACAAGCAAGGAAGTAGCTGATGTGAAGAGAGAGGCAGCATTTGAGATGGCAAATATTGTGAAAGCATTGTGGTTGGAGAAGATTGGGAGGCCATTTTCACCACTGTTGCCACCAGGAACTGTAATGGCTGCTGCAAATACTACAGTAACAATGAGGGCTGCTGCAATTGTGCATGAATTTGCTGTGTCTTTCATCCATTTCTCCCCTGCCTCTTTTAACTCCTTATGCTCCTCCATAAAGACCATACTTGGTGTTTTGTCATCTCTATTCCGATTTGACAAGTACTTTGATTGTGTGATTTTTTCTACTACCTGCAGATCAGATGAAATGAATCATATATGTGTGTGTGTTAGTTTAAATAAAAAAAAAAAAAAAAAAAAAATCAAATGCTGGGGGAAAACATATAAGAGATTGTGACATACCATACCTTAAACCATTGCAGCTCTCGTTGCATTTGAAGAGCTGCACCAGAAACAAGATTTAGTTTGTGCAGAGGTGCCAATTTCGCAGCGAAATGCAAAGTGCTATTATTATATTTGTCTCGATGATCCGGTAAATAAGCCATAAGCACACTGGTTCCACAAACAAGGTTAAAAACATTTTCGCTACGGTTCATTATTGCAACGTGAAGTATATTCTGTTTCATGGAGTTTACGAAATAAACCGACAAAGGATATGCTTCTGCAATATTCAATATGACTTGCCAAATGTCTAAACTCGTTGCTTCAAAGAGTGCATGCGTTGTCGTCAGTGAGATCACTTGTGTTTCATTTAGGGTTTTGAGTTGTTCGCACAAGCATTTAAGAAGCTTTACAACTTGGTGGTGCAGCACTATTTTGTTTACTATGTCTCTGTTCTTCCCTACCAGCCCTGATAGATAGATAAATAGATAGATAGATAGATATATTGAATTAAAATAATAATAAACAAAATCCATTATTTTTATTATTATATATTTTGATCTGATGTGGTCATGTTAGGTATAGTAGTTATGTATACACACACATCCATACATACATACATTGTAGTAGTGAAGTGAAGAGGTGGAAAATTGGGGTAGATGTTTTTGACTCAGCCTTAGAAACACCTGCATGCAATAATAAATTTTACTAGCTAGTAAGTTGGCTGACAGGCACGAGATTGAAGAACAAGTATATATATATATATAAATAAAGATGGACAATATAATAGAAATAATGGATATATAGTTACTCACAATAGTATATGAAATTTTGCTAAAAGTTTAGACTGTGTTTGTTAATAATGGAACAGTTACTAAGAACCAGGGCATCCAAAGCTGACATAGAAGGACCTAACATCTTATGACGTCCCAAATCAGGGTACCTTACAACCAATTGCAGAGCCAAATCTGTGTATAATATACATATAAATTTCAATTAAATTAGAAGCTAGGTAGGTAGGTAAGCAAATTAAAGAGGGTAATTAAGATGGATAAGATATATACTACGTACCATAGAATTTATATATGATTAATTCAACAAGCATAGTGACACCAGTTGGGCCTTCATATGGATTAGGCTGCCCGTATTCATCATCCCTAGTGAGACGAAGGAAATACAGAAAGGCGTCCTTGCTTTTGCGATCATTCCCAGCTGCATAATGGATGGGGAAAAAACCTTGTTTGTTTTGAAGATAGAGGAGATTAGAATTCCTGCGAATAAGGATATGAGCCACCTCAATGTTTCCATGCCGGGCAGCGATGTGAAGTGGGGTAGACCCATAGTCGTCTCTGGGGCTAAGTTCATGGTCCAACAATAATGCTACAAGCTTTTCCATAAAGGAGGCATTACCTACTCTAGCACCAACATGCAATGCACTCTCTAAGTCCGTCTTAAGTGGAGATTGAATTGCTGCGGGGTTTTGGTTGAAGAATATTTGAGCTTCATCCCAATTTGCTGCCAATATAGCTCTGTATAGTGGCAGGTATTTGCTGAAATCTACTACAGCGTAACATCATATCATGTATATATGGGGAATAGAATTGAAGCTTGAATCATTATTGGAAATTATGAAATTTCCGATCACCTGAAAGTGATCTTAAATCAAGTCAAAATCCTTGTTCCGACCACTTTTGGTATCCGGAAAAACCTTTGTTGCTATTTCTGACCACTTTTTGGTATCAACTTGATTTAAGATCACTTTCAGGTGGTCGGAAATTCCATAATTTCCACTAATGAATTGCTAGCTAGCTACATATATAGAATTAATGAATCAAATTTAAAGCACTCTACCTGGTTTTTGACGAATAAGTGCTTAAGAAGAAGATGCCATATATGCAAATTTATTCTATCTGATGAGTGATGATCTTAACTCAAATGGAAATTGATGGCCTGCCACGCTATGTTTTAAATACATATAGTTGTTCACGTACAATAATATAATGGTCGGATTTATATATATATAATGTCAGCTAGCTACAACTTTCCTACTATAATATGGTATGAATTGAAGCTAGGGTGATGAAGACGACAAAATTTTATTAATAAAACAAACACCCAAATTCCAAACATGAGGGCCCATTCTTCTTAATTAATGATATAAGTGGTTGTTAAAACTATATTACAAATAATATTTCCTTTTAAACAATTACTTTCGAATTCATTACATCATACCACGCATTTGTTTATTTTCTCAAATCTCATCTGTTCAACAACCATCTTTGCTAGCTACCAATCCACTTAATTATTACAGGGATAGCCAAATTAGTTGAACTTGGTAAAAAAAAAAAAAAATTAAAATTAAAAAAAAATAAAAAAAAAAAAATTTTAAGTTGAGTTACCAAGTTTTTTTTTTTTGTCCTTCATGGGTTTCTACTTGCACTAATATATATACAACTTTTTTAGAAAACGTTTGAATTGTATAGCATAAAGGTTCCTTTTTGCGCATAAAGGGACAGGATGCAAATTAATTAAATCCCAAGAATGAGCTGGCTAGTCTGGACCATTTTGGACAGATTGATGTTAAAATGATATTAAACAAGTTAAAAGCTAGTGGAATTTAATTTCTTTAGTGGGATAGTGGCATTTGTTAATGGGGGTAATGGTTAGTGGTAGGTGTTAGTGGGGGTAGTGGTTAATTTTTTTTTTTTTCTCATAGCTATAGTTTGTTATTCTTTTATTATAAATAGAATGTGTTACAAAACATTTTAATATCATCATCAAAAGTAATAAAAATGACTACTTTCTTTTTATGTTCTTTTTTTCCTCTCAAATTATATATAAATATATTATATTTTAATATATCCAAGATTTGGTATCGTCAACCTTTAATTCATGTAGTGAGATATGACAACGAATTTCAATATTGTATGGTTGGATCTCAAATTGAATGAGAAATTCAATTACAATTATTGACAAATTATAATGACCACACATTTGAAAGCTCAAAATCTTTGGAGCTTTGTTGCCCCTAGTCTACCAGATGCAGCAGCCGCTATACACCGAGATCAATTGGTTTGGACAGATTCACCAAGGTATTGATTGCAGTCGTTGATAAGGTTGTTTGATCGATGTAAAATGACCTCTACATAAACAGTTAATATGTGTTTCTCTGATCTTGTCTTATTGATATGTTATGTTGAATAAGATGAAAGTTATTTGGAGACACTATTGAAGATGGTGCAATAATGGTTGAAAAAATATTTCCTACCATCTACAATCTCCTTATACATAGGGCAGACATTGGTCCAACGTGTCCGATATGTGGCATGCAAGAGGAGACGGTTCATGCTCTTTGCACTTACAAGTTAGCGTTGGATGTGCGGGAGCTATCTAACATATATATGTATGTATGTGTATATATATATATATATGTGTGTGTGGGGGTGGGGGTTTTGCCCCCACCCCATCCCCAATTTTTTAATATTATATATAATATTAAAAAAAAATTTAAAAATATTATATAGAATATTAAAATTTTGTTGTTCATTCAAAATATTTGGTCCCCCTCCCACTTAAATTAATCTTACAGGTTAAGTTATAAACTTCTTCATCTTCTCAACTTCTCCAGTTCTCTTCCATTTCAAATTATGTCTTCCCTATATTATCCACTCACATTCAAATTAAACCTTATTTAACTTACCTACTAGTTTCTCTCTCTAGAACAATACATATGTGGCATATACGCTATAACAAGATAATTTGTCATTAAAATCTATGCATATTATCAAGTTAATTAATTAATTTATTTTTTTTTTGTTTCTAACTACTTGTTTGGTTAATTTTTATTTCATTTTTTTTTTTTTGAAAGCAAACCAGAATGGCATATATTAGAGATAAGTTGAAATAGAGTTAGGTGGGATAGTATCCCAATACATAGCAGTAGCTTGATCAAAAGCTGTAGATGCTAAAGTATGAGCTATTAAATTACCTGATCTAGGAACGAACTTAATAAAACAGCAATCGAAATAAGTAATAAAAGATTTGCAACTATCTATAGCATAGCCAACGTACGAACGAACTAGTCCAGTGGTGGAAGACAAATAGTGCTGAAGAGTTAGACAATCCGTGTAGAGATGAATAAACCGCTCCCCACGATTTCTGAGTCACGACAAGGCTTCCTTGCACGCGTAAGCCTCGGCCATTAATGGCGAAAAACAATCGGGAAGGGTAGTGTTGAACGCTGCAAGATATCCTTCGTTCTCATCTCGAAGTACCGCCCCAACGGACGCCTTGTTCGTCGCAGGATGGTAAGTTGCATCGAAGTGGCACGTCCACCCAAAAGTGGCGATGCATGGCTGGTAGCGGCAGGTAGTGTTACGGCAGCCTCGGCCGCACTTGGAACCGGAAGAACCGGCTGCTGTGGTGAACATGTCGCCATGCATGGAGCGCAGTAGTGGCCATCGCTACTAGCTTCCTCGAAGTCGGCAGGTAAGCATCCCAAACTGCACCATTTCTCGCCGTCCAAATATAATAAAGAATTGCAGCTGTGAACATAATTTCATTAGTTTCTAGAATATTCATAACTTCACCAAACCAAGAATGAAAATTATTTGTCACAATATTGGGGATTGGAAGGTGGGATTCACGCCATATGGAGCTTGCAAAATCACACAAAACCAATGAATGCATAGTATCCTCATGAGTAATACCACACAGCACAAGTAGGCTCAATTCCCACCCTCCTTATATTCAAATTGGTGGTAGTGGGCAGGATATCACATAATGCTCCCCATAAAAATGTCTTCCAGTTTGGGGGAATTTTAGGTTCCATAAAGTGAGCCATTTATTAAAAGTGCCCTCATTTGCAACATAATTTCCAACAATGAGCATGTATCCACTTTTAACATAGTAACAACCTTTAGGATCCCCATGCCAATACCAAGTGTCCTCGTAGTTCGGGGAAATTGGTATCTTCAAAATCCGAGCCACGTCCGTAGGTTGAAAAATATCAATTAGGATCGAGTGATCCAATAAACCAGTATCCTGATCAATTAATCCCATCACTTTTGCGTCATCCAGCTGTGGAGGCATCTCAGTATGTATCATAGGATCTTGATCATCTTGGAGCCAGGGATGATCCCAAATTAGTATCGCCTCCCCATTCCCAATTCTGCGTCTCACTCCACTACAAACTAAGTCCTTAACTGTCATAATACTCCGCCAACAAAAACTAGGATTATTCCTCAAGCATGCTTCAGAGAATGATCCCTTAGGGTAGTACCTGGCATTGTAAACACGAGATACAAATGAATCAGTTTTAGTAAGTGTTGGTCCCGGTAGGGTCGAAAGAGAGTCTAATGGGGGGATGAATAGACTCTAATCGATTTTTCAAGGTTACTCC